AAGGAGTTTGTGAGCCGCTCTGAGACTCCTTTGGGTAGTGAAGGGCGGGGTATAAATCCAATCTCTTTTCTTCTTCTTCTAATGGGAGAGGCCACTTAACCACTACACCAAAGAGGCTCTCTACACCGAACTGGCAAGTTTCAGCATCTGATGGAGAGGCAAGCTGGAACCGCCAAAATGGCGTGATAGAAACTGCTTCCCGACGTTGGCCCGACGTGCCCGATTCATCCGAGGCTCGAGTCTGTCACAGCCCCGGCCTAACACCTGGACAAGACCGTGAAGGCTAAGTTAAGGGGGACAAAAGGCACAGGCCACAAGGACGGTTCTCCCTGTGAAGGGTGAAAATCTTGACTTTGGCAGACTGAGGAAGAGCAAAAGCCACAGAGTCTGGCGGGAGAAGCGAGCGTTACTTTGATCATTTCGGGATCCGCTTCCGTCTCCCCCGTCAGCAGGTTCTTGGTCTTCTGGAACCGTCTGCGCTTGTACTTATTTATCACTGCAAAGAAACGGGGGGGGGGGGGGGGGGGGGGGGGGGGGGGGGGGGGGGGGGGGGGGGGGGGGGGGGGGGGGGGGGGGGGGGGGGGGGGGGGGGGGGGGGGGGCCTGTTTCGCACAAGGGACACAGAAACGGGGCAGAGAGGCCGAAGCCTTCCCTGTGCTAAGGTATTCCGAAAGCGCGCGCGCGCCTATCTGAATTCAGGCTGTACATCTGCCTGCCTCGAAAGAAGTGGGGATTCCTCTAAATCTCTAGTTCACACCAGTGTTCCCTCTAAGCTGAGTCAGTACGAACTAGTTCACTGTTCTTTAGCCTCCGGCTCACACATTTTCGTCTGAGCTCAGGAAGGAGGGCTCCTGAGCAAACCGATTTATGCAGGAGCCAAATCGCTCGCTCACAACTTTAATGCCAGCAACTCACAAAGTAGGATTTTTGCTCACAAGACTCCGCAGCATAAAGGCCAGGAGCTCACAAAGTAGAGTTCTTGCTCACGGGACTCCACAGCTTAGAGGGAGCGTTGGTCCACACGCACAGAAACAGAGCAGAAAGTGAACCCAAGTGTCATCTAGTCTAACCCCCTGCACAATGCCCCAAACTCACAACTACCTCCCCCTCCGCTCCCCCCAGTGACCCCTGCTTTGTGCCCAAAGGAAATATTACAACAAACAGGACCACGGTGTATAATAGCTAGCAAACAGTAAATCACTGTGTACAAATAAGCAATATTACAGTACAGTAATAATACAGTACTAGTTACAGACAAACGACTGAGGGAAGCTTAGCCAATTATTATATGCTGTGGACCCAGTCACATTAGAGCTTGCTATAGGAGCTCCCCGGTCACCAGAATCTAAGCGCGGTAGCGTACATCAAAAAATTGTATAAGAATTAGCATTTTGAAATATGGCTTGCAGCACTTCAATCTAATGAAGAAATAATTACAGAATGACAAACCTGAAGAAGGACACGCAGACGGACAGTGTACTAGAACTCCGTCGTTTGTCTGTAACTAGCACTGTATTACTCTGTAAGTACTGCTAAGCTTTATATCGCATATTGTAGTGTTACTGTTGTAATTTTGTTAATAATTGAATTCTAAACATTGCATATAAAAACCAACAAATATTGTTTAATTGTACACGGTGATTTACTGTTTTACTGTGCCCAATGGAAGGCAAAAAACCTTCAGGATCCTTCCTGACCCCAAAGTGGCAATTGGTGTATCTCTGGGCATGTAAGAAAGGGCCAGGAGAGCCGATCACTGGTTCATCCCTTCCTGCCCAAGTTCACAGAATTAGCATCAGCATCGCTGTCCCATGGCCGTCTAGCCTCTGCTTCAAAACCTCCAAAGAAGGAGAGCCCACTATCTCCCGAGGAAGCCTGTTCCACTGAGGAACTGCCAGGAAGTTCTTCCTAATATTTAGCCGAGAGCTCTTTTGATTTAATTTCAAGATGGGGTTAGCCGTGTTAGTCTGTCTGTAGCAGTAGAAAAGGAGACCAGCAGCACCTTAAAGGCTGACAAAAACTGTGGCAGGGGATGAGTGTTCATCATGAGTCACCGCTCGCTTCTTCAGGCATTTCAAAGGGAGATTAGACAGAGAGACTGCTGAATTGCAACTGATGACGAAGCTCAAGGCAACGCAACCTCCTGGACTGAATCGAGACCTAGGTTTTCTGTCTCATTACGAAATCTGATTTCTCCACGCCCACTACCTCTCTGTAATATCACACCTAATCCAATCACGCCTGCTATAGTCATTAAGAACATAAGAAGAGCCCTGCTGGATCAGACCCGTGGTCCATCTACTCCAACATCCTGTCCCACACAGTGGCCAGCCAATTCCTCTGGAAAGCCAACAACAGGGCACAGAGGCCAAGGCCTTCCCCTGATAAGAACATCAGAAGAGCCCTGCTGGATCAGACCAGTGGTCATCTAGTCCAGCATCCTGTCTCACACAGCGGCCAACCAGTTTTTCTGGAGAGCCAACAACAGGGCAGAGAGGCCAAGGCCTTCACAAGAACATCAGAAGAGCCCTGCCGGATCAGACCAGTGGTCCATCTACTCCAACATCCTGTCTCACACCGTGGCCGATGTTCCCTCTAATTTTTCCCTCCAACTGAGTGAAGCAGTTCATGAACTGAGCAGCATATAACTGCTATAATCTTAAAATGGACAATGGGCAGCGGAAGACCCTGCGTGACTCCAGACTGCTGCTGACCGGGGCTTCCTGGGTTCATGAGCGGCCGCTCACGCACACAGCTTAGAGGGAACAGTGAAGTGGCCAATCAGTTCCTCTGGACGGCCAACAACAGGAGCAGGGAGGGAGACATCTTCCCTTGATGTTGCCTCCTGGCTCTGGGATTCGGAGGCTTAGTGCCTCTGAATGTGGAGGTTCCCCTCAGTCACCATGCCTAGTAGCCATTGATAGACTTAGAAGAAGAAGAGGAGATTGGATTTATACCCCGCCCTCCACTACCCAAAGGTGCCTCAGAGCGGCTTACAAACTCCTTTCCCTTCCCCCTCCTCACAACAGGCACCCTGTGAGGTAGGTGGGGCTGAGAGAGCTCTGACAGAAACTGCTCTTTGTCAAGAACAGCCGCGTCGAAACTATGGCTTGCCCAAGGTCATCCAGCAGGTGTATGTGGAAGAGTGGGGAATCAAACCTGGTTCTCCTAGATTAGAGTCCACGCACTTAACCACTACACCAAACTGGCTCTCCATAAAGTTATCTGGCTATCCCAGCCAATGTTGGAAATGTAAGGCCAATATAGGGACCTTTTATCACATGTGGTGGTCATGCTGTAAAATCCAGGGATATTGGAAAATGGTGAGGAAACTAATTCAAGAAATAACGGAGAAAAATTTAGCGTTGGAACCTGAAATATATTTATTAAATATTCTACCCAAGGGGGTTATAATCAGCAGGAGAAATGTGTACTTGTCTATATAATAACTGCTGCCCGTTTATTATTGGCCAGAAACTGGAAACTAGATATAATACCGACCAGGGAGGAATTAGTAGTGAAAGCGTTAGATCTAGCGCAAATGGATAATCTGAGCTTGATGTTGCAAAACAAAAATGAAAAAGTATATAATAAAAAATGGTCTAAGGTGTATGATTGGATAGAGATGTTAAATGTATGAGACTCTACAATATATGTTAATATTGGATTGGAATGTAAACTTTGTAAAAACCAAATAAAAATATTGTGGGGAAAAAAATAAAGCTGTTTTCAGGGCTCTTTTTGTAGCATATTAGGCGACACAACTCCTAATGTAGCCAATCCTCCAAGAGCTTACAAAGCTCTTTTTACAGGGGCGACTGTAAGCTCTTGGAGGATTGGCTACATCAGGGGTGTGTGGCCTAATATGCAAAGGAGTTCCTGCTACAAAAAGAGCCCAGTAGTATTTCCTTTTGTCCGCCCTGAACCTACTGCCCATCAGCTTCATTGGATGCCCTTGAGCTCTAGTCTTTTGGGAGACGGAGAAAAAGTTCTTTCTCAGCTCTCTCCACCCCATGCATAATTTTACAAACCAATATCATGTGTCCCTTAGTCGTCTCTTTCCTAAACTGAAAAGTCCCAGACTCTTCAAGCCTTTCCTCCAAGGGAAGGGGCTCCAACCCACTATTCATCCTCACTGGAGTTTCACCTGCTATGTCTGCACTTTCATCTGCTATTGTCACTCGGCATCTGAAATCACTCCACACTCTCCAAGACATAGCACAGATGGACTCCCATTCTAGCTGTATCTGAAAAAGCGAGTGGAGACTCATGAAAGCTCTTCCCCTGCCACAAATTTTGTTAAGTCTTTAAAGTGCTACTGGATTTAATTTCAGTCCATGGGTGCCGGTCTGACCTTCTGGGGCAAGATTATCCCGGAAAATATAACGGCAAGACGCTTCTTGCCTAAGCCAGGCAAACGACAAGAAGAAATCACACACTGAACATACCAAGCGGCAAGGGAAGGAAAAGCCAAAACATGTGATGTCGCTGTCCTTTGCGGACTACTCAACTCCTCGGTCAGTTGAGGAACCCCCTGTTGGGGCGCCCAGGGACCCCAATATTTAAGAAATATTTCTCCCACAAAGCAACTTGTCTTTAACCTCCTAACCCCCTTGCCTTTCAGTCAGAAGCACATAAGAGAGGCCATGTTGGATCAGGCCAATGGCCCATCCAGTCCAACACTGTGTCACACAGTGGCCAGAAATACCAGGGGCCATCAGGAGGTCCACCAGTGGGGCCAGAACTCCAGAAGCCCTCCCACTGTTGCCCCGCCTAGCACCAAGAAGACAAAGCATCCCTGCCCCAGACATAAGAACATAAGAGAAGCCGTTGGACCACACCAGTGGCCCATCTAGTCCAACACTCTGCGTCACACGGTGGCCAAAGACGAGGCGCCATCAAGAGGTCCACCAGCGGGGCCAGAACTTCAGCAGCCCTCCCACTGTGCCCCCCCCCCAGCATCAAGAACACAGAGCATCACTGCCCCAGACAGAGTGTTCCATCTTTCCCTTGTGGCTAATAGCCACTCATGAACCTCTGCTCCACACATTCCTTCAATCCCCTCCTGAAGCTGTCTGTGCTTGCAGCCACCACCACTTCCTGTGGCAGTGAATTCCACGTGTGAATGACTCTTTGGTGTCCTGGAAACTCTGCTGACTCCAGGGACGCTTGGGCTTCTGGGAGCTCACAGAACTGATGCTTGCTCCTTTTCAGTCCCCCAGTCCCTCTCAAAAAAAACCCCTATGTCCTTGAAACAAGCCGAGTAAGCTAATATGGAGAAATCTGCTCACTTTGCACAATGTATTTTGAGCATGGAATTTTGGGTTGTTTTCTTTTTTATGGGGGGAGGAATCTAGATTTGTGGGCGGGAGTAAAAAAAAAAAAACCCTGTCTGCTTAGCTAGTATCTGCACATAAATAAAAACTGGAAGCTTTTGTCAAAAGAGTTGGGCTGGTTGGCCCGCATCCTGTTTTCCTTCATCCCTCCAGAACAGTGTTCCGTCTAAGCTAGTGTGAGCTAGCTCACAGTTTTTTAGCCTCCGCTTCACACACCTTTTTATCCTAGCTCAGGAAGGAGGGCTCCGGAGCAAACTAATTGATGCAGCAGCCAAATCGCTCGCTCACAACTTTAACGCCAGTCGCTCACAAAGTAGAGGTTTTTTGCTCACAAGACTCCACAGCTTAGAGGGAGCACTGCTACAAAATGCAGTGGCCTCTCCCCACAGATCCTCCCTCCCCGTCTCCTACAGGATAACCGCAAACACCGCTTGCACCGACCGCCTGTGGCATTTCTGCTTTTCAAGAAAGGGCGGGCTGATGGAAATTCGTCAAGCTGTTGCCCTTCCGAACTCTGCTGAAGTGTCGCGGAAGGCCTCCTGGTCTCCCTCTGTGCGGGCCTGCTAGCTGTTTGCCATTTTTGAAAGAGTGTGACATGAAAATGCACCCAAAGGCGTGGAACTCGCTCAGATATGGGTGTGCCCGCGTATCTGTACAGACTGCCGGTTGTGACAGGGCCAAGGAGAAAGGGAACATAGAGCGAACATGTCGTGTTGGGGAGCTGCAATGGGCAGCGGCTTTTCAGCATGCGCATGTTTAGAGCATGCCCCCCCCAGCCACATGGAGACACACCAGCTGCAGAGAGTACTAAAGCAAACCCTGGTCTACAAGATGCCCACTGTCTTCCTTGTGGAACTTGAGCCCCTGTTGTTAACCTCTTGACTTCTGGTGTGGAGGCAGGCCTGCCTAGTCCCCACCAGGGGCGGGACATCCCCTTGCCTCGGGGCCCCTCCCTCCGCTGCTGAACAGCCGGCCAAGCAGCACAGGGAAGTCTAGTGAAGTCACCCCATCACCGTTGACATGGGATGCTCTGGTACTTGGGCAACAACTCTATGGTAAAAAAAAAAAGACTTCTACCATAGAGTTTTGCCCAAATACCAGAGTGTCCCCATGTTGCGATGATGTCATTTCCGGGGCATACCAGAAGGAAGGTGACTAATGCCCCCTCTAAGCTGTGGGGTCTTGTGAGCAAAGATTCTACTTTGTGAGCTACTGGCACGGACGTTGTGAGCGAGCGGTTTGGCTGCTGCATGAATCAGTTCGCCCTTCCTGAGCCGAGACAAGAATGTGTGAGCTGGAGACTATAAAACTGTGAGCTAGCTCACACTGACTCAGCTTAGAGGGAACACTGGGCTTCCTGAGCCGAGACAAAAATGTGTGAGCCGGAGACTATAAAACTGTGAGCTAGCTCACTGATTCAGCTTAGACGGAAACCCTGGAAGTGACCACATTGCCAGCAATGCTGGCATGGGCATCTTTTTGCTGCCAATAAACACCCCCCCCACCCTCCACTGGTTGTACCTGGGAAACCTACATGGAGGAGTTACTAAAGGAAAAGAGGAAGTGGTCATGGAAAAGAGGAAGTGGTCATAAGTGGGGAAACGGCAGGTTGGAGCAACAAGGCCTGGAACTAGGGACACTGGGCGACTGGAGAGGGTGTGGAGTGCAGAAATCTCGCCCCCCCACGAGTAACGGCGGCAGCCTCCCGGCGAGAGAAGAGGGGGGCAGGATTCATTTCCAGGAAAAGGCTTACTTCGCGACGTGTGGACCGTGGAGAGCCGCTTGTAGGAGTTCTTCTGCTTCGGATCGGGGGTGAACCCGCTCTTTGTGAAGTACACGTGGATGTAGATGGAGCCGTTGTGCTGAACGCTCTGAAACCACACACAGGCAGCAGGCTGAAGTTAGTGGTGTCATTGGGAACGCGGGGCAAGAGAAGCCCAACTATCACTGCCTGCTGCTACACAGCCAGGGACCTGCATAGCTCAGGGACCGTCTTTTCCTGTATGTGCCCCGCGGAGCTTTACGCTCAACCAATCAACACCTTCTGGTTATCCCGGTCCCGAAGGATGTCTGACTGGCCTCAACGAGGCCCAGTCTAACCCTTACTTTTACTGTTATTTATTGCTCCTTATTGTATTTCGGGTTTACCTACATATTTCATACCTGTACACACAAAGTTATGGTTTATTTAGCATTTATAACCTTGTTTTCCGCCTGATCTCTTAATTGGAACATATATCCTACCTACCATTACAGGCATTCCCCTGTTCTTGAGGTTTATTCACTCCTGTTTACAAATTTACAGAACCTTACGGTTCTCTTCGTTGACCTGTTTCTTTCTTCCTATTGCACATAACGGTATCTTCGCTTATTGCAGAACATGTTTGTTGCTCTATTTCAACTAAAATGTGAAATGTAAAAAATGCTTTTATACTGTATTTTCTGTATCGTT